CCACCTACAATTGCTAATTATCAATTAATATTAAAATATATTGATGCACCCATTTTCAAACTATGTCTTGGTGAACCTGATTTTCTTCACCATCAATACATATTTAAATGAGTTTCCAGTCAGGCTCAAGTTAGAGCAGAAATATTGCATCATAAACCACAACCTGAGATCCTCTCCCTTGGCAGTAATGGTCCTTAAATCCCTTTAGGGATTTTAGGCACTGATACTTCATAATAGGCCATTAAAAATGTGTATAATTTGAGACCTATCCAGGTGCACCCTACTAATGTGTGGTAATATCAAAACATGTATTTTCTGTCCTGCCTGGCTGCTGCCTACACTTTCACAATCATGAATGGAATATAAGAAGTCTATATTGTTATATTTCGTGAATCACAGAATGCTCACTTCATAATCTCCAGAACAGAATATTTCAAATATATACCATAAATATTTTTAGGTAAAGAGATCGTCTTCAGGCTTGTTATACTTCAAAAAAAGAAAAAACAAAGAAAAAGAAACCTCACTATTTTAGATTAATGTTGTTTTAGTGCTTTTGAAACTCCTTTTGAAAAGATAAGCTAAATTTAAATCACAAATTCCACGTATTTAAATGTGAATTGCTTCTATGAAAATGACAGGTGCTACAGGTGCTGATCTCTCATTCCTGTAATCCTAACTACTCAGGAGTCTGAGATCTGAGAACTGAGGATCCAAACCAGCCAGGCAAAAAAGCTTATGAGACTTTTTTTTTTTAATTGTGAAAATACTGTACAGAGGGGTTACAATTACATGGGCAAGATAATGAGTACATTTCTTATCAAGCATTGTAATCTCCTCCTTTGTTTCCCCTTCCCATCCCTTCTTTGAAGATTTGTTGTTGAAGGATTTAATTTTTTGATTTCAAGGTATATTTTAAATATGAGACTCTTGTCCGTTGTACCGCTAGTGAAGATCTCCCAATCCGTGGGCTTTCTATTATCTGCAGCTAATCACCAGGAAACTGAAAGTGGTAGAGCACTAGCCTTGAGCAAATCTCTGGGACCATGCCCAGACCCAGACTTCAAGCCCTACGACAGAATTTTAAAAGAAAAAAATAACAACAAGAAAGAAAGAAAAGAAAAAGAAAAAAATGATCTCACATGGTTTATAAGCCACAGAGAAACCAAGCTATAGTAATACAGCTCATGAAACACACCTTTCCATACACACCTACACATGTGCTTTTTCGTTTGGAAAGTCTACAAGGATAGTGTAAGCAGACTTTTGATTTCCTTGTCTGCTACATGTAATAGAATGAATTTGGCATTATTACCTAATTCTCTACTTCCTTTATTCTAGCTTTCTTATTAATTCAGTTAAGACCTGACATTGTTTTCAGAGAAATAATGTTAAGGAATGAAATGTTTGTCTTAGTTTCATTGCCCAAATCCATTCAGTAGTTAGATATGATTCTTCTTATCTAAATTGACAGTTAAAATTCATCATATCTAGGAATGGAAATTTTGGCCCATTTTACTAGTAGTATCACTTGCATTGGTAATGCCATTATTTATTATTTCACTAGAGAAAAATATGATTTTGTTGGGTCTAAGTTTCTCTATGACTCACATATCACTGTTGATAATCATAAAATACCAAGAAAATTACAGAATTGCCCCAAGTAAAACTCTTTGTAGAACAGCCCAATTATCTATGCCCCATAGATAGTAAAATTCCAATAAATATTAAGAACATTTAAAGTTAATTTGTTTTATCATTTACCAACTTGCAATTTGTACTTAACTCTGATAGAGTGACAGCTAATACTTCCTTTTTTATATTTTGAATATATATTTCTTCATTTTGAGAGGCATGCAAAATAATCTCTATTGTCTTTTAAAGAAAATTTCTAGGGTTTTGTGTTGTAGATATGTAGTAGATAATTATATCATTGCACAAAACATGATTTAAATAATCTTAAAATCAAGATTATGCTTGGCATTCATTGAATGTAAATAAAAAGTCATTGTAATATTCATATTCACTCATCTTGCTATGCTATCTTTAAAACTGATGAGGGCAGGACCCAAGGGAAGAATGAAGAAGACAGTGTTCTAACCCAAAGTTTGCTTTATTCCTGACCTCTCTCCTTTACTGTGTCTTCTGGATTCATCCTGTTTTTCTTTTTTTCCTTTAATTTCCATTCTGATTTATGTTTCCTTCTCCCTTGGCAAAATGATATCAGTAACAATAATAACTATTGCCACTTATAACCCTACTTCTGAATATAAATCCCATCATTAAAGGAACATAACTTTTTTGTACTAAATTCCAGCCCTTGCCAGTGATCTTTATAGATGTGTGTGTGTGTGTGTGTGTGTGTGTGTGTGTGTGTGTGTGTGTTACTTTTCTTTAAGCTTTAAACTACTTGGTCAGAATTAAATTCAGATATGAACATTAGGGTTTAGTTCATCTTTCTGTGGTCATTGCATTGACATCTCAAACACAGAGCATGCAAGTCGGGCCTTTTCTTAATCCAGAGCTCATGGCTTGTCCTCTATTCATGCTGCTTCTTACAGCTATTATCTTTGTTACTTTATATTTTATAACAGATAAACAGGGACATTATGCAAAACTTAGGATGTACACTCATATCAGGTTTTGTGGGGGCTTTTTGATTTTTTTTGTTGTTAAGGCAAATATATTCTATAGATTGAGATCATATTTCTTACACATTGTATGTGACTTGAATGCTTCATAAAATATATGTCTATCAAATGACCTTTGGCAAATGTGTAACAATACTATTTGATTTACAAGTGTTATTAAATATGTAGAATAAAATGTTTGATCACACATATCTTAATATTCACTCATTATTGTTATGCATGCTTGGGACACTGACAGAAATATCATATTTTGAAATTGCAAAGTCTATATTATTTTTGTGTTTTGTCATGTTCGGTACCATATAAATACTAGTTAGGTTATTAATGTGATGATTTATTTAATACCGTCCTGCCTTTCTCTATTAAATTAACTCTAGCTTCTTAAACAAAAGACTAAGTATATAAATTTAACTCAAGGAAAATACTATTTCAAGATTTAGGAGCAATATACAACTACACATTTGGAGGGCTGAGTATATATTTTACCTATATACTTAACTGACTGACTTTGCAATGGTTTATATGAATTCATCCATGTCATTATGTGTTACAAAATATATATTGGGCCTCAACCAATTTGAATTAACTTTTTTTCAATTTTTTTTGTATTGGTGCTGGGGCTTGAATACTGGGCACTGTCACTGAGCATTTTTGCTCACGGCTACCACTCTGCCATTTGAGCCTATAGATCCACTCTCAACTTTTGGAGGGGTTTTAGTACTAAATTAGAGATAAGTATCTCATGGACTTGGATGCCGGGGCTGGCTTCCAACAGACCTCAGATATTAGCCTCCTGATTAGCTATGATTACATGCAGGAGCCACCACAGGTGTCTAGCTTGGATGAACTTTTCTCTGTGTTACTTTCAAAACTGCTCCTATTCTGTCTGAATGGAGGATGTGCATTACATACTTATGTCATATGATGTTCTTTTAACCTTATAAATATTGAAATGAACTATCTTTGAACCTTGCAGTGGTTTTGGTGTTTAGAGATAAGTTGCTAGGAGAAATAGGTTCATTTTTAAAACTAGTACGAGCTATAGGAGAACCCAAGTTGAAGTGTTTAACCCATCCATCCTCTCATTTCATCACATTGCATCCAACTCTATTCCACCATGCTTTATAGCACTCCACTGTATTGTACTCCACTCGATTCTATTCCGCTCCACTTCATTGTATTCCACTCCACTGTTTTCAACTCCACTCCACTTCATTCCCTTTCACTCTACTCCACAACTACTCCATCCCACTCCATTCCACTCCACCCCATTCCATTCCATTTTACTCCACTCCACTCCGTTCCATTTCATTGCAGTGCATAGACATGGACACACCATTACAAAAGCTAAATACTCATATTTTTAATGAAAAACAAGAAAACGTTCAAAGAAAAACATTTTTGTAGGTTTCAGACTTGTAAATTATCCCTATTGTGTGTTTGTGTGTTTTGTTAATTTCTAACTTCCTTAAAATTCATTTTGCTCATGTTCAGTGAATATTACATCCAACATAACTAATATTCTATGCTCTAGGAGAATAGTATACTCAGTGATCTACCCAAAGTTACTATCCTTTGCTTTGTGTATATGTGGACATTTATTGAGATAATTATTATTAAGTGACATTCCAATTCAGCTTGTTTTACATGTTTGTTATTTAAAATAAGCTGTTTAGAATAGCAAAAAGTAAACACTATTTCCAGCAAAATTATCTGGAATTTTAGTACTAAGTTTTTAAACAATTAATCATAAGGAATAACATCTTTTCTAACACAATGCTGTGAACATGGTTCAAATGAAAATGCTTAGAAAGTGTTGTCCTTAATATGTAGAATAATTTCTGAATGAGTATTAGAGCTTGAAATGGAATTACGATGCACACATGTACCCTCCTTTGTTGACTTTTTAAAAAGAAATTATGAGAAAAGAAAATATTGTACTATTCTAAAATTACTTAAAAGTTATTTCTGGAAAATATTTGTACTAAATATAATGTATAGTGTGCTTGATGTTATAATAATAACCCATTATTTTAACTTACCTATTATACTAAGCAAGCCCTCATCTCCTTATACATATGTACCTAAATAAGTGTATTTTACACTAATCCCTCCATGGGAAACACAATCATTTCTTTCAGGTTTGGGTAATAAATGCTATGATAATATATGCATAAATACTGCATTTTTGATTGCTTACTTTTTTACATATGGTTTTTGTGCCCATTAAAATGAGGAGAAAACATGTGTTACTCAGGAAGTAAAGGAAATCTATAAGGAATTTAAATAAGAATACCTTCATTTAATGAGTCCAACATCCTTTTCTTTTCCTTTGTTTCCCCCTTACAGGTTTCAGATTTGGGACATTGATGTTTATTTTGAGGACTTTTTCTTTCTCTTCTTGAGACTTTTTTATTTTTTTAAGTCATTGGTCTTGGACTGCAGAAGAGAAACCAGAACCATTTTGTTTCACATTTGAAACACTCATTGTCGAGGAATTTACACCCCAGCGCACAGACATGTGGCCATCACAGCTACTGATCTTCATGATGCTCTTAGCACCACTAGTTCATGGTAAGTCCTTTCATTCTATTTTTGTGTAATGTTTAATATTCACTCACTCGTATTGGATCCTTTCTTGTTTTCCTTGTTTACTTTATGTTAATATACATATTATAGCCTGTATTTTAAGCTGCAAAGAATTACAACTTTTTCAGTTGAATTAATTAGTAATAGAAATGTGCACTTAATCTAGTGGTTTTGCTTCTTCTTCTTCTTTTTTTGAGAATTCCTACTTCTTTGTCACACTTATGGAAAATCATCTGAGTTGTTAGTTATATTATTTAGTTTGAATTTTTGTCTTGTATATTTTTTATAATTCAAAATGACTTTTGAAGAAATTATCGTAAACATTTGAAAAACAATGGAAGGAAATTTGCTTTCCTATATCAATTAAAGGTTTGAGTGTTTTGTACACTGTGAAATTTTTATTACACAGAATACATACAGTAACCTCTCCTTAAAGGAACCTTGTTTTGGCTATATACCATGTAGCTCAAGTAAAATGACAAAAAGAGAAACCCAAATAGAAAATGATAATGCAAATATATGCTTTCAGTTTTTAGAGAAAGGCAATTTTGCAGAGACATGTTAAAATACTAGTAATAGATTTTGTATTTGTTTTCTTTCTTTACACTTCTTTGTATTATAATATAAGCATGCCAATTTAAAAATGATGTGCTTTTAGAATTTCTACAAATGCATAGTTCTCAATTTCCACTGAATTCTCTAAAAATGGATACATTTAAGTCTTTATACTTCTTTATTACAATTTACTTTTTTCTCTTATTACTAATTTTTCACTAAGACAAAAGATGGTATATTATGGGATGTAGTAATGGATAAGTAACACAGCTATATTTGTCATTGCTTAAGAGGGTTGAGAATATGATAGCATAGCCATCAGCTCATATGAATTTTTGGACTTTTTAGCTCAATTTTACTTCCTACTCAACTGCCAAGCTCTGCAGCAGTTCACCAGTGGAACTGGTCTATGCTTCTAAGGCTCAACATGAATTTCATTCTGCTGTCAGTATAAACATGATAATGACATTACTTTAAAATAAAAATATAAGCTCTCATCTCCTTTGTAGTTTTCCTCTAGTTTTAATATGTTTATCTGAAAAACAACTCTTTAGTGTAGAAGATATTTTAAACATGAAAGGATAGTCTTCACATAACTGCCGTGTGCTAAATAGTTATATATGTCAACGATTTTAATGAGTCATATGTCCAAGTGCACTCACATACACGGACACACGTAACACTTTATAATATCATAAAAGAGTAATTTTAAACAGATGTTTTTCTTATATATAGCTTGAGCTGGTTCAAATTGGATATTTTTATTAAAAGAGAAAAATAAATCTACCCTCATAAAATTATTTTGAGCACTAAGTAGTATACGGAAGGAATCTAGCATAGTGCATAAATCTTTAAACATATTAATTTCCCTCATGTTACTATCTGTCCCTTCAGTAAATTACAATAATCATTATTAGCTGGCCATGATTGTTCTTTCATTGAGCATTGATACTAAGAAAAAGTTGTATAATATACCTATATTCATGTTGGTATGTACATAAACACAAACTTGCAAACTTATGTTCAAAAGTCAGTTTATAATTGTTAGAGGAAGATTACTTAAAAATAGCAGGGATAGATGAGTGCTGGTAGTTCATACCTATAATCCTGGCAAGTCAGGAGTCAGAGATTTGAGAATCACGGTTAGAAGCCAACTGGGCCTGGAAAGTCTGTGTTATCTCCAGACTGTTATCTATAGTAGTCTACCAAAATGCCAAATGTAGAGGTGTGGCTCAGATGGTAGGGTTTGAGGCTTGATCAAAACAAGCTCAGGAGACAGCACTCATTTCTTGAATTCAAGCTCTAGGACCAGAACACACACACACACACACACACACACACACACACACACACACACACACACACACACACACACACACACACACACACACACACACACACACAGCAGAAGTAATGACAGGATTATCATTTTAGAGGGGAAATGTCTCATTTTCCAGAATTTATACTTCTATGTATTCATTTATTTCCAACTATGGCTGAGCCATACATAAGCCATAGGTCTTAGTTTGGGGCTTATAATCTGTATTAAACACTTACACATAAGGAATATGCCAAGGTTTTCCTGAGAAGTATTGAAATACTTAAAAAATAAACATCTTATATAATAGAAGGCATATAAAAGATTGACCTGCTTCTAAAATATTTGGGGCTAACAACCAAACTAATCCTTTCTGTTTTATTTGGACCTCTTCTTATTATCTTGACTTAATCTATAGCAGCTTAAACAATACAGTTTCTATTAAGAAACTATAGCCTTATTACCTTCTATGAAACTTTAAACATTTACATTGAGAAAATGCAAGTTGGCTTTTGCCTACTTTTCAGTAAAGGGCTTTATAAGCAGACTTTTGGAATCTAACTTGCTCATACACAGAAAAATGTTCCTTTGATCGAGTGCCAACACAGAACAGGTTAGGACGTTTTACAGTTCCTGCCAATCCTGACTTAAAGAAATACTGCATAATTTGAAACTCAGATAACTCAGATATCCATTTAGTAAGTACTTTTCTTTCCAAAACATCCTCAGAAGGCATCCCCATGTGTACTGTTGAGATAGATGGCCAGCTTTATTTGCATTCCTGACCATCAAGAATCAACTTTGCTGAAGTGACTTGAATAGCTACCCTTTCCTCCACAACAGATAATAATGACAACTATTGATTTTATGACCATACACTATTGTATATAAATTAGTTAAATTAATCTTCAAAGCAATCACATTCCTTTATTATTACTAGTTATTATTCATAAATATTTTTTACAAAGTTACTGAGTGTGAAAGTACTTGATTGTATTTAGTCAGCAATTAAGTGATTCAAGGAGGAATTAAAAGCAAAGGATCTAGCTTAAATTTTGATCAGGCTACCAATAGTAGTTAATTCAGATCGAGGTCATTCTTTATCAGAGAATCTCTTCTCAGCTCTGTCCTTTAATTGAGCTGGAAGTACTGATCACTTGGCTTTTCTACATTGATTGGATTTTCAAGTTTCACAGACCTGAGTTAAAATTCCAACTCTGCCACCTAACTAGCTTTGTAACCCTGTTTTTAGCCAGCTAGTTAACTAATATTATTTAAAACCAGAAAACTGAGTGAGTCAGCTTGATGTTAAGGTTTTGGTAATGAACAAAAGATTTCTATTTCTTCCCTCAAGGTGCATAGCCTACCTTAAATTTTTAATAAGCCTATTTTTCATCTGTGAGATTAAAATTCTTGCAGGCTTATTTTTATCAGTGGATAGAATAATATGTGTATAACTTGTAACATAGCACCTGGTATTTGATAAATCTGCCATTGTTTATTCTACCCCTTATTTACCTTGAAGTAAATTTACAACAAAATCTTTGAACGATAGGTTAACAAAATATATAAAATTATCTTTATGCTCACCTTTAGACTTCAAAAAAGTTTTGTTAGAAATTTCTAAATGCTAGTATATAAATATTTCAATATGAATGATATCCAGGTAAAAACTTTACCAGTAAATAAGGATACTTATATAAAAAAATAAAATTAGCATTATGTAATTGCCAAGTAATAGATTTTTTTCATGGTCTTTATATGGATAAAATTGTAAGCTAAGCTAAAGAACTAATCCTTAGACTGTTCATATTAGCTAATTAAGTCTATTGGCACTGCTCTATAAAATCTGACCAATATTTTGCACATGTAAACAAGAATAATCAGTATATCAACATTACATTACATGCATATAATATAAAAAAGTCATTGTCTCTGGTTCTATGTTTATCTGTCCATACTATATGTCTATGTACCTCTGTATTTCTCTTTTTGTTTTTGTTTTCCATGATTTGTTGCCTTCCCTATATATAATGCACTAAGAACTAGCAGAGCTGCAGCAGCTAAGCAATGCCCAGTTCTTTACTCTGTATTACTTTAGTGTCACACAAAGGTAAAATGTTGTTTGTATTATAAATCCATTGATGTGGTAAAGAGTAAGGAAAAGAAGAAAACTGAAGAGTGGGTTGCTGAAGTACCTCTTGTGGTCTGGAGATATAACATAAAGCCTCATGCATAATAATCAGGGGCTCTGCCTCTCAGCATATTAGCATCCATTTTGTAAGTTTTGTTTTAAAACTATTTTCCCTGAGCTTTTCTTATCTCCTATCTCTCCACCCAGAATCTGAGATTACAGATGTCTCAACTTCACCTAGCTCCTAGGGCTTATTCTGATGTCAGTAAAGGAATATCTATTTCACAGTGAGGCGTTGGCCCAGGTGATTTGATTCTGGCATGCAGTTTCTCCCAATATAGAAATTAGAAGATTACTGGTGTTCATTTATTTTTCACTACTTCTTACTTTAGTCATAATTCACTTACATTCACAACTGAAAAGTAGAAAATGGGATCATTAGAACTTACTATAAGTAACAAGAAATAATTTCATAGATTCTTCACAGAAAAAAGAAGGACTTGAACAACAATTCTAGATGCAACTTTGGAAATACTTTTATTCTATGAAATTATTTATTGTTTTTGTCACAAATGCTTCTATATTATCATAATTTGGGGCTTTACAAGCTAATCTGCTCTTTTATTTAAATAGTCAATGAGTAATAGTAAGCAGTCCTTAGTACAGACAGAACAATGATCATATATATATATATATGTATATATACTTAATATCTGTTTAGTATGATTTTGTTTTTAATTTTATAGTTGTAACACTATAATAATGTTGGAATACTAATTTGTAAATATTTAATGTGCATATTTTAATTACAGGATATTACAAAGGTTGAAAAATCAAAATTACATGTTACTATATAATATTTTACCTGAGAATTCTTCCTGTGTAGTCATATTTTATTAGTTGTAATAAAGTTAAGTTGATGTCTAAGCTCTGATGAACTTTGGTATCCTTGAAATGTTTATTTTTGCCATATTAAGT